TTATTATTATTATTATTATTATTATTATCACCATGATCATCATCATCATCATTATCATTCCCCCAGACCACAGGCAGTTGGAGAAGCCTTCCTACAACTGCTCCGAAGTGACGTCATCAACGGCGCCATCTTGCAAGTGGACATCCAGGGGAAGACTTTCCGCCACATGGAGTGTGTCAACGACGGTGTCACCTTTGACCCCAGCAAAGCGTTCTAGCAACTTTTTTTGTTCCTTTGATCCACAAGTGATCCCACTGTGATTTGACCTAATTCTTATTATAATATTGCAAGGTTTTTTTATTTGTTTGTTTTGAGTTTTTGTTCTGTTTTGAATTTTTTGTTTTGTTGTTTTTGTTGTTTTAGTGTTAGCGAATTATAGGCGATTTCCAGGTTGAGAAGCATAGATATGGGGTACATAGAAGCGAAACCAATAAATTGGAGGAAAAAAAAATTATTAATCCGCAGACAGGAAAAAGAGGCTAAAGCAGCACCTGGACATGGATGGCTGGTGCCTCTATATATAAATCATTGATGGTCAAGGTCAAGGTTGTTTTAGTGATTATTTTACGGTTATCGCAGTACAAAAACTCGTTAAGGTTGCGGGTAAACCTGTATAGACACTAAATTAATGAGCAGTGGACAAGTAGTCTTTTTTAAGAAATAATATATGTGAGGCAGCGTGGTGGAATCAGGCTCTCGGCGAAATAATAAGTCGGAGAAAACAGCAGTTTTCTTCCTGCTTAGCAATTTTTATCAATTTTTTGGTTTTTGGCTCTATACCTTTTATGTCCATTTACAAACACATTCCTTTGAGGATTTCACGGAATACGTTGATTAAAGGCACTAAAATATAAATTTGCAGTGTTAATGTACTCTACAGCTTTGGAATTTACAAAGGTTTGGCGGCCATTTTCTCGCTAATTTTACCTCTTAAACCAGGTGACCCCCGCCTCCTTCAATACAAAATATCTACACTTCTATTGAAGATGGATGGGTAATTTTTTCATTGAAAGCAAGACAAATGAACAAGCTTTCAGATGATACCAATAACTCAATATGCCCAAAAATTGACGAGAGCCTGATTCCACCACGCTGCCTCAAATACATGTATTATCAATGAATGAAAGCAGAAGACAAAACCAGTATTACAACAAAGTTTTATGTGGTATTTTTGGCTGTTTTGAGTTAGTAAAACCACGAAGTCAGAAACCTAATGTTCTATCTGCTCTATCAAAGTCATAAGAATAAGTTTAATCGTTATGAAGATATTCAAAGAATTGCATTTAAAAAAGCTTGTTATATTGTGAAACGAAAAAAAAAAAAGTCAAATTTCTCAAAACTAGGTATTGTGCAGATAGACAGATTTGACGGTAACTTAAAGTAAAGCAAAGGAAATTAAGTAAAGTAAAATAAAGTAAAGTGTAGCATGAGGTAAAAAAGCATAACGTAAAGTAAAGCAAAGTAACATAAAGTAACATAAAGTTAAGTAAAGCAAAGTAAGATAAAGTAACATTAAGAAAAGCAAAGGAAAGGAAAGCAAAGCAATACAAAGGAAAGCAAAGAAAAGCAATACAAAGCAAAGGAAAGCAATACAAAGCAAAGGAAAGCAAAGAAAAGCAATACAAAGCAAAGGAAAAGAAAGCAAAACAAAGCAAAGGAAAGGAAAGCAAAGAAAAGCAATACAAAGCAAAGGAAAGGAAAGCAAAGAAAAGCAATACAAAGCAAAGGAAAGGAAAGCAAAGAAAAGCAATACAAAGCAAAGGAAAGAAAAGCAATACAAAGCAAAGCAAAGCAAAGCAAAGAAAAGCAAAGCAAAGAAAAGCAATACAAATCAAAGGAAAGGAAAGCAAAGAAAAGCAATACAAACAAAGGAAAGGAAAGCAGTACAAAGCAAAGCAAAGTAAGTCCTCTTCTGCTCAGAGCCCACTTGGGGCCCTCCACTCAAATACATCCACATGTGTCTTTGGTGTCACATGTACTTCTCCTTGTGCTCTTTTATCACTTCCTAAAATTTACAATAATCAGCCCAAGTTCCATCACTGTACATACTCCTGAGGACCCC